CTTGTCCCAAATATAAATGTTATAATGCTTGTCCCACTCACAGGTGTCCAAATGCACAACAGCACCTTTTCCTCCAGTGAAGTATAAGTGTTCATCCTAAACACACTTAGGTGAGTAAACTACTGCTAGCAAAGAGCTATTGTGAAGATTTCTTATTACTAGTACAAAGTTAAACACCAATATTTATTAAGAGAAACAGGTTTTAAATCTACATTGAATAATAATCCAACCACATAATGTTTGTGTTACTTTCTCACCAGATGCAGTTTAATAATTATAATGTAAGTTTTGTGTAAACCAAGATTGACACCAAGTAGAGATAAAAGCAGATTGACCAGCGTTTTAATGATACATGAGGAATTCCACCAGGCTAATTATTGGATTAGACATTGGGTATACTGTACATAAAACAACAGATCAGGGAATAAAAAATAATTTTACATTGAACCAAAAGGTGGGTCCAAAATAAATTAGGTTATGTTAGGAAAACTGGAAAACATTGTTCTAAGAATTAAGCAAGGTGTAAGGTACAGTACTTAGTTTTTTTCTAAGTTTAATATTGTAACATTTGCCATTTAAACTGCAGAAATCTCACCATCAGAGATTCATGTTATCAACAAAAGGGTGATGAAGATGGCATGGAATTACCTTGTAGTTGCCTGGAAATAAAGTCCAGGCAACTACACAACATAATCAGAGTAGGATTGTATATGCTTTGTGCCCACAAATTCTTACACACATACTTTCCTCTGTAGGGTACATATTTTCCTCTCCTCTTTCTCTCCCTCTTACACATAGGTTTGGTGATAGATACCACACTTTTATCCTGAGTTGAAATGCACCTGTGTATTCTAAATTCACTTTGAAAGCCTGTGTTTTATTCCAGGAACACCATACCACACTTTTATCCTGAGTTGAAATGCACCTGTGTATTCTAAATTCACTTTGAAAGCCTGTGTTTTATTTGCATCCAGGAACACATACCATACAACTCGATAGTCCATTGCAACTCTAATCCTTGGTTAATTCTACATCTACATTAGTGTTTCAGACTAAAAGTTGATGCCAGTAGATGAGTCAGAGAAAAAATGGTTTGGCAAATTGCACTAATTAATTTCAATGACAAATATTAAACTGTTGCATTTGATAGGGAAAAAGCAAATGGCACCTGCTGTTCACTTGTAGGTGTTGAAACTAATGTCACATCAAACTTTCTGAGTGATTCTTCAATGTGCTACATCGCACGCTCATGAACCTTCTAGAGACAGTCAGTTTTTCCCTTCTTCTGCCCTCATCA